ATGCCCCCCCTCCCTGGCCGGGGAAGGACCAGTGGGAGCCCAGAGCTTGGTTTGACTCCCTAGACCCCCCAGACGGTGGGGCGGGGCTCTTTCCTTGTACCTGACCTCAGCCAGGACTTCTTCCAGGATCTGGAGGCCTAGAGGCCCAGCACAGGCCCTCCACCATGCCTGTTGCCCCAGTGGGATGGCCCTGAGGGCCAGGGGGATGATAAAAGCCCCCAGGGGCTGGCAGGGAGAAAGGGTGAGGGGCTTAGCAGCTATTCCAGACAACAGAAATCAAATTGCTCAACCGTAGCATACAGTTCAGGAAGGGAACACAAATTTGGAATGCTAAACCACACAGAAATGCATTTGGACAACAAAATGAGAAAGAGAGGGAGCAAAGGGGGATTTGGGGGTGGGAATGGGGGATGGAGTGGAAGAAGAAGGGGCAGGGAAAGTGGAAAGGAGGGAAGATGAACCAGAAAAGTTGTTGGGGGGGAAAAGTCAAGAAAACCAAACGACAAACCAGGAAACACAGCTCGGTAGCTCATTTGGAGAAAGTGCAAGTTACAAATGAGTAGTCACTAAAATAAATACAGAAAAGGGAGGAGGATAAAAAAAACCAACCAGAGCGAGGTTGAGAGAAAGAGAGAGAAAGAAAACCACATTCAAACCAAGCAGAGTGGCGGGGCTTATCTGGAGATGGGAGCGAGCGAGCGCACAGCTGAGCTGGGATACCTACCTTCTCAGCGTCAGGGACAGGAATGCAATAATAAAAAAGAAAAGAAGGTCTCCGCATTGGGGAAAGACAGTGACTCTAAACTGTGCTCCCCCTCTTAGCCAACAGATGGGCAGCCTGTGTGGTGAGGCTTCCCCGAGTCCCAGGGATGGGATGGGAGGGGCTCTTGCCCAGCCCCTTCTCTTTGTTTTTTGATTTTTTTTTGTTTTTGTTTTTAAACCACAGGCTCCAATAGCCAAGCTTTCCTTAACTCTTTAAACAGCAGAAAACCTCCAGAGGGCATGCAGGAAGCAGCTGATGGAAGCAGAACCCCAGGGTGGGCTGAAGAGGGGCTAGCAGCATGGGAGAGAAGCCCATGTCAGGGGTGAGAGACAGAGAGGAAGAGAAAGAGACAGAGAGACAAAGAGACAGAGACAGAAATGGGAAGGAGAAAGAGAAACAGAAAGACAGGGACAAAGGAAACACAGAGAGGCAGGAAGAGAGAAAGGTAAAACCAGACAGAAGAGAATAAAAGCCTTTAACAAAAAAAAAATCAATCAGAGCGGAGATGGGTGGAAAGGGAAGTGGCATTTAAAAGGGAAGGCAACCATAGATTCAATTTAGAGGGCCACCCTGCCTCAGATCAATCTCATTCCCTTTCTTCCTGGCTTCAGTGTCATTTTTGCAAAATTGATCCCTCTGGCTGTCCAGGGGCAGAGGCCAGAGAGAACTCTGGAAGCCTTGCTCACAAGTCTCTCCCTCCCTCCCAAACAGGTGAAGCCCCCACAGGAGGTCCCATTTCTAAGACTGTGACTTCTGCAGGTCCTTCCTGGCCCACGCTGGGCCTCAGGGAGGGCAAGGCTAGCACCAGTCTCGCTCAATAGCGCACACTGCACTCCCGAGCGACTCCCTTCCCTCTCTGTGCTCTGTTCTTTATTTCTTCATGTCTATGTGAGCTGTCAAGACTTAGGGTTCCCTGAGTCACTGAAACAGCAGTCCTCTCGGGTGGGGGGTCTATAACGTGGGGGGCCAATTGAACCCTAGTCTCTCAGTGTGGGTAGCCCCGGTGCCAGGGAGTCTAGAGAGCTGAAAGCACGCCACAGGCATCTGGAGGGGTCCCCGGGGGCAAAGCAGGAGCTGAAACAGCCAGCAACAGCCTCCCCAAGTCTCCTCCCCCTGCTCAGGGCTCCTGGAGTGTTTCCGTTTACTGTCCTCTCATGGCATGCTTGCCAGCCTCCCAGTCTCCTGGTCTGAGGGCCTGAGACTTTACTTTGGGATCTGCCTCTGAAAAACTGTGACCTTGAGCCAGTCACTTGTCATCTCTGAGCTGTAGTTTCCACTTCCGTAAATACCGGAACCTAGAACTTCGGAGTTTAACCCTCACCTGGGGATGCACGATAAAGAGATCCATTTACACCATCCCATGGCCTCAGTCTCAAGACCAGGATGGTCTGGCGTTGAAGCCTTTACCTGAGCTACACTCTCTAGGTGCCTTCAGAGCCCTCCTCCTGGGTCCGAGGGCTGACACTGAAGGTCCCAAGTGGCTCTTCTCTGCCCTGTTCCATCATGCCCAACCACGTTATCCTAAACTGAGGAGTCACAGAAAGCTGCTGGAAATGCCCCTAAGAGCTCAAGACAAGTCTCTGGCCTCCCTGGGTCTCCTGGCTTCTCTCCAAGGTTCCTGATAGATGGTGACCAGTTTTGTTCATTTGGAAGCTGAGGCAATTCCAGCAAATGGGTGCCCAGGGGTTGAGGAGGGGGCTGGCTGCTACTGCTGAGTTGGCAGGAGCTGTTGGTGTGGGAATCCTTTCTTTAAGAGAGTTATCTTCCCTTTTAAATTCTGATTACAAAGGAAAAAAATAAGTATAGAGAGATATGTGTATGATTAATGTTCACTTGAAATTCAGAAACCATCTCTGCATTAGGAAGGAAGGTTCCCACAATAACACACACAAAAGCAAAATTCTAGAACAACGTAGAAGATAGGGGGAGAAAACCCCAGAGAGATAGTTTGCATTTCTGTACATTATAAAAAGAAAAAAAATAAGGAAAAGGAAATACAAACAAAAACAAACTGAATAGGAAAAGTGACATAAATTTCCCACCCTCTTCCCTTGCCGGCTAAACAAGAAATGGAATCACAATATTACCACGTTTCAAATGGGAGGCTAAAAAACAAACAAAAACATAGATGGGGTTAAAAAATGTTGAGCTTTGCCTTCTTCGTTTGTTTCTCTCTCTCTCTCTCTCCTTTAAAGGTAGCTTCCAAGAATACCACCCCCAGTACTTTTCCCCAAAGACATTTTTTGGTTAACGGTAATGTCTGTGACCTCCGCCCCCTTCTCACCTCTTTGGGTATGAGAGAGCACCAGCCTCATTTAACTCCTCAGAAAGTCTTTCAGGCAAAGAGGGGGTGTGAGTACACTTTCAGAGACCCAGGATGTTCTGAAGTCCCAGATCTCCCAGGGCCCAAAGGTTAGAGATAGGACTGGGGGGTGATGCTTTGTGAAAAAAGTAACAAAGTACTGTCTCCTAGAAAACTCCCAGGGCCACACCAAAGTGGGGTCCAGTGTTGGGAGGGAGACGAGATGTGGGTGCTGCCAAGGCTTCCTCCCGAGGCAGAGGCCTGAAGCTAGATCCCCTCCCCTGCGCTCTCTCCTGGGGAGTCTACCTAGTCCCTGTGGCCACTCATCTGCACAAGCCCATGGCTTTGCCCAAGGTGGGGGTGGGGTAACTGTTCAGCCTGCAGGGCCAGGGAAGGGAACACAAGTGGGAAAGGACTTACTCTCAGCTCTGGCCTGAGAGATTCCAAGAGGATGTGACGCTCTGAGAAGATAGGTGCTTCGGGGCACTGTGCCTTAGGGCTCTGTGCTCATGGGGTGGCGATGGGGGCACTGTCCCAAGCTGGCTCATCATCTCCAGGACGTGGGGCACCAGGCCCTGCCAGTGGCGACCTTAGCCACCACTGCCAACACAGATCTGCGGACCTCATTGTGATCCTCGCCACATGGGCCAACCATACCCTTTGAGCCCAGGAGCCTGGCACCCTGTTCAGGGGCAGTCTAGAGACAGGAAATGTCCTTAAATAAAAATGAACCTTGAGGCCAAGAGCCTTCTGTCAGCTGCCATGGACTTTCCTCTCTGAGGCCGTGGGAGTAAGGGTATTTGAGAAAAGAAAGGGAGTGAAAGGAAACAGCCAAAAATCAAAATGAAACTGACCAACACGTACATGTTCGCTGCTGAGACCTGAGGTCTGGGGTGGGGCAGCTCTCCCCTCCCTACTGAGGCTTCTGGGGCAGTCTGTGGGTTTGGGGCGGAACCTGCAGATCTCCTCCCTCCAAGTCCCTGTGCCCACCCAGTGCCCCTTTCAGCACTGCAGCCCCTTCTCTCTGAGGGGCCTCAACTCTGTACTCTAGGGTCACCAGACAGAAGAGGAAGCAGACCTTCCCTAGGGTCTGGGAGAACCCCTTACCCTGGCCCAGCCATCCACCTGGGGAAGGCTGAGCAGGCTCTCTCTGCCCGACTCTACCACCAGCACACATGCCTGAAGGTCTCCCCTCCTGGAGATGGGTGGGGGCTATCTTGGGGGTGGTGTTGGCATGGAGACTCAGGAAGCAAGGGGGGCGGCCACAGTAGGCCCCAGGAAAGTGCCTTAGGAGGGACAGCCCATGGGAAGTGGAGCCGCAAGTTTGAGATCCCGGTCCAAGTGTGGGCAGTGCCAGGGGAAGGGCAGATTCTCCTTGGAGCAGGGACTTTAGTGACAGGGATGGGGTCTGAGAGGCAGAGGGACTAAGGGAGGGGAGGGCGCTCAGAGAGCTGCACGGGCTTTGTGGGGACTGAGGCTGCGCCCCAGTGATGCTGGGGGATCCTGTTCTCCACTCTAGCTCCTGACTGCCACTCCTACCGGTGTCCATGCCCCCTCCCATCCCAAAATACCTGGAGGGAGGCAAGAGTTTTTTACGCTCTTCTGGAGCCTTGGACTCAACTGAGTGCCTGGTGGTCAGCCCCTCTCTGGATGACCCAAGCCTGCAGGCGCCCTCTCACCCTGACACTAGGGCCAGGTGGGCGCAATAACTGACCACTCTTGGCGGCTCCCGTGTCATGACGCCCCTCACGGGGCGTATCTGGGTGGGAGGAGGCGGGCGCAGGCGAGGGAGGAAGCGGCCGACCCTGAGAAAGGCGTGCAACGCCCCCACCCCCGTGACACACTCACCGCCCCTGCCCCTCAGGCGACCGACCCGACCCTGCATGGCGCAATCCACGCCGCGGGCGAACCCTCTGTAAAGCGAAGTGTACGTACATCGGGCGGGCTGTGCGCCGAGCCGGGGCGGCCCGAGTGCGCTCCGCTCCGCTGTCTGCTGCCACCGTTCTGCTGGGGTGACACCCATCCGCTGCCGCCCGACGGGGAAGGTGACCGGCTCCCGCTGGACCGCTGGCTGCCCATCTTCCGCCCGTCGTCTCTGTGCTTAGGGCTTAGCCTGGGGAGACGGTGGGGCAGGGAATAGGGGGAACAGAGGTGGGATGCCCCCTCTGCCAGCGACTACTCTCCAAATGAGGTGAGGGGCCTGCCAGGCCCCCTACCCGCCAATCCCCTACTAGCTCTTTGGCAAAGCAGGAACCTCTTCCCCATAACACTCAGCATGAGCCAGCCCTACACTGCCTCGACTTCCCATTCAGGTTCTGGGGCACCTTAAAATAGCTTTTCCTCCAGGTGGACACCAGTGCAGCCCTGGCAAACTTTTTTTTTTGGAGAGGTTTTTTGCTATAGGGTGCGAGGGCCCACCAGGAAGACAGAGAGAGACAGAGAGCGAGACATAACCCCCTGGGGGGATGGCCACGCAGCAATCCCTTCTCCTCCATTCTCCTCCTGGGATTTGGGGCATGCATGCACACACATCTGGTGTGATTTTCAAGCT